AGTGTGCCCGCGCATACATTTGCTTGAAATTCCATGCCATACACTGTCTGTCCTTGTTGCTGTCAAAAACCAGTTTCTGCAGGAAGTTTTTGCCGACCGGCACTGTAGAATGCCGACCGGCTGTGGATTGGTGGCCGATAGACTTAAAAGCAGCCGATGGAAATTTCCCATGGCCGGTGGTTATTTCTCTTAGCCGATGATGTTCTACAGTGTGCAGAGAACATATTCCAAGACTTTGGCAATTTTCAGAGGAGCAGGGCAGCATTAACAGAGGCAACAGTGACATGGTACGGGTTTCCGGGCAAGATGGATCCAGCATGCATCATTCGCGTATCCCGAGGCAGGACTGCGACCATCCATATTCTGCATTTAATTTGTTAAATTAGAGGGTCTGTAATAAATTAATTAGCTAGGATAGGTAATTCATTACTCGGATTGTATTATTCTTTTGGTCCCTCCGAGCGAGGGCAAATTTGTAATAAGTGTGGGTGCGTGTGTGCATGTCTTCCAATCCCACGTATTTCTTCCCTTTTATTTACCTACTTATGATGGTAGACTAGGGCATATTTAAATTAGCATAACAGCATGACAGCATGTTTGCATTCATTCATCTGTTTCGCATGCACCGGGCTCGGCGCATCATACTAACTGCATCGTATTTTCAATCCCAAATTGAGTACATGTTATTTGCAGCATTTCACATGCCATGTTTAGGATAGCCGAGCCTGTTTGGATTGCATCTTTGCATGTGTTGCATTAGCCATTTCAAAACATGAACTAGGATCATGCATGTGATTACTAATTGGTTTCTGTTTCGGCTTGGAGTACTAGGTGAGCTTTTATGCTTTAGCATGCCGCATGCGTGTGAGTATTGCCATAATTGCATGATTACCATGAGGCTAGCTGCTTATATGATATAACTGCTTGAATGCCTGTGGATGGAGGTCGAATTGCTTAAATTGGAATAACGCATTAAAACTGTGAATTTTAAGCCCACTAGATAGTGGCAAAACCATTTCTTCTAAAAGCGCACTTGAGGGCGGCAAAACCTGCATTTTATCCTACTTGCGAGTAGCAAACTATTTTCAAAACAAACATGCTATGTTTTGTTCCAATTTAGGTGATTTGGTCTATACTTGTTTGCTGTGCGCATAACATAGTAATTCTAGGCTAATAACCGGAATAAGAACACATAACGTTTTCAAAATCGGATATCATGGTTAGTAGAGGCCGATCTTTGGATCGGGCGAGAGGGGGTGCTCATAGCTGACCTTTCCCAATCGTACCCAAGCTCCCGAGCCGAGGCAACTTTGGTGATGACGGACACGTGGCCTTTGGCACCGAGTCAGGGTTTCCTAAATTTCCTCCAAAATAAAATATTTAGGTGGCGATTCTGTATCTGGCAAAGCAGTCCATGTTTGACACTTCTTTTCAAAAATCTGTTTCTCAAAACGATTTGCCGGATTTGGGACTCTTTTGGTTCAGATTAAGAACCATGACACAAATCGAGTTCAAACTGTAGTGAGGCCCACGGGCGCGTCTACACGTGCCTAAATACATTGAATTTACCTCATGAACCATCTCTTTTGTGTGAAATTTTGTGTTTTATAATAAGTATATATACTTTTTGTATTTTAAAGGACAAACAGTTTGTTGCTGACTGGTAGATTCCATGAAACATCCTATATTTCCTACATTTCTGCATATATAATACGTTTTGTGTTGGACAAAACTTGGAGTTGTATCATGGCCAACAGTTGTTTTCAACTTGTTCTTTTCCTTCCTTTGTTTTTGATGTTTGTTTCCCTTGAAGCCAGTAGATTCAGTTCCAACTCTAGCAATTCCAAACCCAGTTGCATAGAGATTGAAAGGAAAGAACTTGTTGAATTCAAAAAAGGTCTCACAGATCCTTTTGGTCTACTTTCTTCTTCTTGGGTAGGCATTGATTGTTGTACGTGGATGGGCGTAGGTTGCAGCAACCAGATTGGCCATGTTGTAGCGCTGGACCTTGGAAACCTCAGTGACTGTTATGACAAAAAAATTGGTTATGCACCTACAACCAACTCATCTTGTTTGGGTGGTGAGGTAAGTTCCTCCTTGCTCAACTTGAAATATTTGAAGTATTTGGACCTAAGCATGAATGATTTCCAAGGGATTGCAATCCCTAACTTCTTAGGTTCACTTGAATAGTTGAGCTACCTCGATCTCTCTAATGCATCTGTTGGTGGAATGATTCCTCCTCATCTTGGAAACCTATCAAATTTGCTTGTTGGTCTGCCTTCTCTAAAATATCAAATTTTCCGATTTAAACTGGCTTGTTGGTCTGTCTTCTCTAAAATATCTTAATCTTGGAAATGTGAACCTCACTTTGGCAAGTACTAATTGACTGCAAGCTCTTAATATGCTTCCTTCTCTGTCGGAATTGAGATTGCGAGGTTGTGAGCTTCACAACTTGCCTCACTCTATACCAAACATAAATTTCACTTCCCTTTCCGTCCTTGATATCTCTGATAACAATTTCAACTCTTCAATACCTCAATGGTTGTTAAATAGAAGTTCCCTTTTGCAAATATATCTTTCTAGTAGTTATATGAAGACCTCTGTTTCTGATATCCCATGGGGAAACCTCTGTAACTTGAGAACTTTAGATTTATTCGAAAATCAAATTAACGGAGACATAAGTGAACTTATAGGGGGTTTGGTTGAATGCAGCAACAGTAGCTTAGAAGATTTATGGTTAGGAAATAACCAAGTTAGTGGACAGTTGCCAGATTATTCACTAGCACGCCTTCAGAACTTAAGATACCTTCTACTTTTTATTAACTTAATCTTAGGCCCAATCCCAGCATCAATTGGAAGGTTGTCCAAATTGGAGATGTTAGACCTCTCTTTTAATCAAATGAATGGGTCCATACCAGATGGCATCGGAAAACTTGCAAACTTAAACTTCTTGTTACTTGATAACAATTACTGGGAAGGTGCTCTCTCCCAAAATCAATTGCAAGGTCTCACAAAATTGCAGAGTTTCAGAATATCATCGTCGAACAAAAGTTTAATCTTCAATATGAGCCGCGAATGGGTTCCTCCTTTTAGCCTAACAGAAATCACAGTCCGGAACTGTCGATTGGGTCCCAGATTTCCAGCATGGCTAAGTGATCAAAAACGACTTTCTTATATAAGGCTCACAAACGTTGCCATTTCAGAAACAATACCTTATTGGCTTTGGGAGTTATCTCCGCAGATTTTTTGGTTAGATCTTTCTTGTAATTGGATACATGGAGTGCTTCCTAATTCATTAGTATTTTCTAGAGCGTATCTAGTGGATTTAAGTTTCAATTGCTTAGAGGGTTCACTCCCAGTTTGGCCTAATGTGTCACATCTCCTCTTGGCAAACAATTTATTTTCAGGATCAATTCCCATGAACATCGACCAAATGATGCTGTCATTGGAAGTTGTTGATTTATCTGGGAACTTCCTAAATGGTAGCATCCCATTGTCCGTAGGTAGGATGGAACATCTAGCAATGCTTTATCTATCAAACAACTATTTATCTGGAAAAATCCATGATTAATGGAGGGATTCACCAAGTTTTGGAATCATAGGTTTATCCGGAAACAATTTATATGGTGAGATTCCAAGTTCAATTTGCTCACTACCAGTGCTTTTTTGGTTAAAATTAAGCAGCAACAATCTTTCTGGGGAACTCTCTTTTGCATTCCAGAACTGCAAAGGCTTGACTATGCTTGATCTTGGAGAAAATCGATTCTACGGGAACATACCCAAATACATTGGAAAAGACTTCTTATCACTATCAGAACTGCGCATACGAGCTAACTTGTTCAGTGGAAATATTCCTGAACAACTATGCTCTCTTACTCACCTCCACATCCTAGACCTCGCTCTTAATAATTTATCAGGATCCATTCCATCATGCTTGGGAAAATTGGGTGCTCTGAATTCATTGATATCATATAGCCCATATAAACCCTCTAGGAGTGACCTGTATGGTCCACAAACGCAAATGCAAATGCAAATGCAAATGCAAATGGAATTGGAAATGGAAATGGAAATGAAATAGGAAATGGAATTGGTTATGAAAGGAAGACAATTGATATATACCTTGACTCTTGAGTTGGTAAATATCATTGACTTGTCAAGCAACAATCTTCAGGGAGAGATCCCAGAACTAATAACAAATCTCTCAACCTTGGGTACCTTAAATTTATCCCACAACCAACTGACAGGGAAAATACCAGAGAAGATTGGAAGCTTACAACAGTTAGAAACACTTGATCTCTCATGCAACCACCTTTCAGATCCAATTCCTCCAACCATGTCCTCTATGACCTCACTAAACTCATTGAATTTGTCATTTAATAATTTGTCTGGACCAATTCCCTCCGTCAACCAGTTCCTAACCTTCAATGATCCTTCTATTTACGAGGGTAACCCAGAACTTTGTGGGCCTCCATTGTCAACCAAGTGTGATGCCTAATGATAGAGATGCTGATGGAAACCAACATGCTAAGACTCGCAAAGATGAAGATGAGAACGAAAACTTGCAATTCTACCTTGGCATGGCATTGGGGTTTGTGGTGGGGTTTTGGGTTGTTTGTGGTAGTTTGGTGTTAAAGAAGTCTTGGAGATGTGCCTATTTTGGGTGTGTTGATAAAATGAAAGATTGGCTTTTCGTTGTTATGATGATGAACTTGAACCGCTTAAGAAGAATGATGGGAGCAGAACATAACTAAAGGTCCATGTGGGTAATTACGTAAAGGTACTATTATGAAGTCTCTTTCTTGCTCTAAAATGCTAATTAGTATAAATACTCAACTATGTTAGTCTTATTTTTCAATTTCTTCACAGAGTGACAAAATTCAAGTGTTTTTTTTTTTTTGAACATGAGTCTCTTTTAAATCTAATAATAAGGACCACTTTGTTCCTCAAGTACTATGCATCCTTCAACATCTTAGAAAGGGGAATTATAGCCCAGTGAGTTTAAAAAAAATAAAATAAAATAAAATAATTACAGACACATAAAAAAGTTTAGAATTTTAATTATTAATATTTATGTAGTTTACAATTGATGTGTAAATTATTATTTTTTTCTAATTTTACACTGAATTATTATTTCCATGTTTAAAAACCTTTCAAGATTTTTCACCAAGAGAAAGTACTATATAAGTTTTAAAAAAAATTGCAACACAACACCACTACATTAGTTTTATACCAAAAGCATTTGATTGTAAATCATATTTCCAAAACTCAAGTGGTTCCAAACTTACTTTCCAAACTAATGTTTTCTAAAGTTGATTTTAAAGTTTAACATGGTGTTTTGAAAACTCGACTTTAAAAGTTTTTTATAGTAAAATTATTTAAAAACACGACCTTATTAAAAAGTCATGTTTTAAAAACACAATTTTAAAGTTGAAATCGTGTAATCAACCCACACTTGCACAAAAAAAAAAAAAAAATGCTTTGTCAACAAATACATTGAAATGGATTTCGATTAAAAAAACAAATCACACAAATACATTTCAGGATTTTTGCATCCTTGGTGTAGACCGATGAAATAAAAATTCATCCTTTTCTGTACAAATGCAGTAAGATCATAAATCTCCCCCATTCTTTGTGCAAAATATTGGTAAATTAACATAATGTTTGGTCTGGATACATAGGGCAGCAGGATTGGTTTGGTCTGCTAGTGCTTGCTGAAGTTTTTTTCTTTTTGTTTCTTTTTTTTGGATTGGTTTCTCGCCAATCTGCGGGTTTAGTGCTAGCAGATGATTGTG